CACACACACACACAAGCGTACGGTACTTTAATTTTTAGTTTTTTTTTTTTTTCGTTTTTTTACATTTCTTTATGATACACACTTTCAACTGCAAGGAGCGATTCCACTTTAAAAAATGTTCCCGGCTGGTGTTGAAGTACTTTGGAAGCCATCGGAGTTTATTTATTTATTTAGTTTTAAATGACACAAAAAAAACAACAAAAAAACATTTTAAAAAATTATGGCAAAATGAGATCAGCTCACTGAAGAAAAACATGTGCAGGACTCCCACTCTTACATTATCTACATTCGTCATCACAAATGGTGAGATGTACTCTTCTTATCCATCGATATACTGTATTTTCTGATCCTCTTATCCTCACAAGGGTCGTGGGCGTGCTGGAGCATATGCCAGCTGTTTTCGGGCGGTAGGCAGGGTAGTCTTGAACCAGTCGCCTGCCAATCGCAAGGAACACAGAGACGAACAACCATCCGTGCTCACACTCACAACAAGGGACAATTTAGAGTGTTCCATTGACCTGCCATGCATGTTTTTGGAATGTGAGAGGAAACCGGAGGACCCGAATAAAACCCACGCAGGCTCGGGCAGAACATGCAAACTCCATACAGGAAGGCCGATGCCGGAATCAAACCCTGAACCTCTGCACTGTGAGCCTGGCGTGCTAACCAGTCGACCAACCCAGACTATAATTAATCATTTGTTTTTATTTATCTGTTGGCCAGTCCATCAAACTACTGTGTGTCGAGGTGAAACTGGTCCATGGCTCATAAGCTGTTCGGGACCGCTGATCTAGAGCTAGAGCATGTTTCGGTAGAACAGGCTCAGGAAAGAAATGACACAAGAATATGGGCCTTGGTGTCCCTGCTCTCATAATAATAGAACCTCTGCTCCAACGACAGTCACAGACATTGAGGAATAATAATAATTTGGGTGAATCTATTAAACGTAAACCCAATGGTCACTGCAATACAGTCATCCCCCCAACCCCACTCCAAAAAAAAACCCCAAAAAAACTTTAGTCTTGGAAATCAGACGTTGCTTTATTTTTGTGGTGCTACCCTTAAAAATCACTGCAAGAAAGAGTTATATAAGTTTCTGTGAGACTTTTGCAAGTGCCGGCAGGTATTTTGGTCTTCTCCTCAAGATGCTCCAGCTGTCTCAGGTTTGAAAGGATGCCTTCTCAAGGCTGTACTTTTGAAATCCTTCCACAAAAAAGAAAAATAGATTGCGGATTTCGACCAGGTCTCTTCAGTCTAGTTTCATATGTTGTTCTTAGGCTTGGATAACGCTGGGAAGACACTGTGTCTCTTTTAAAAGGAATGACAACAGAAGAGAAAAAGCGCCATGTGCAGGGAGCACAACTCAGAGTTCTAGCCTGAGAGAGCTTGTATTGATTGACAGCAACTCCACCACAAAGGAATGACTTTCAGAGAGAATTTCCCTCGAGTGAATACACCTCCAATATGGTGCTGCATGGAAAGACATTTGAGGGCATTCTTTGCTTTCCGGGGAGGCTGAACTGATGCAAGTTTTGAAAACAGTAAAAACAAGCAGAAAAACAAGCAAGCAATGCTCGCATGTTGTACTGTATACAGACTGATGATTAAATATATTTAGTTGAAGTTGTTTTATCATTTCATACTTTTCTTACAGCCCAGTTTACACTTGCATTTAGAGTATTTTTTTATTTGAGTTTTGATTAATTATAGATATGCAGCTGTTCCTCTTAATCATGTTTGAAATGCACATGGAGTCCATCAATTCCACGAATATTTTCTTCTTCAATGCATCTACAAATATACATATTATACACATACTGTATCTTCAGTTTGCACCTGTACCACTAATACCAACACAGCCTAATTTAAAAAAAAAAAAAAAAAAAAACGTAACGATTGCTTTCTTGTTTGTGGTTCAGCCAATAATGTATCGGCAATTACAAGGAGTTGATTAAATCTTTATTGAATTTACTGCTCTGCTACGGGCGGGGCCCCCATTGCATACTCATCGGCCCTGGGGCTAACCATCAAATAGAGCACCCACCGACCGTCCACAACTAAGATGCACAATTCATGTTTCTACATTAACCAACAGATCAGCACGCATATTTATGTGTTTCATCAATTTTCTCAAATAGACTAACCAAGAAGGTTCATACACTATCTTTTTTTTTTTTTATAAACCAATAATGTATTTTATTTCAGTCACTTCTATGAATAAAAACATATATTTTAATAGTATTGGATTGATATAACAAAATACTATTAACCAAATGAGCACACGTAGTGCACTCTTGCACCTACAATTCTTGATTGGATCAAAATATTATTTAAAAAGTAATAAATAAAGTACAAAAAAATGCACAAAACATGATAGCACTCCGGTCGTTGGCACCATGCATCCCAAAGTTTGTCATTAACCAGCGGCCACTACAGTGGACAGCTTATCATGTGATCAGGTTACAGGGTGCATGAATTTGAGAAACGCCATACTTGCAGCATGGTAACGCAATGGTAGACTGTTGTTGTGTGCAGCAGGGTGCCACAACGAAACGAGGCAAAAGAAGGGTCGAGCATTCTTTTTTTTTTTTTTTCTTTTCTTAAATAAGTACCACTGGCCGCCGGGCTTCAGCCCCAGTAAGCCTGTCGGTAATGGTGGGATTGGTTATGGGGCATGGCCTGTATGCTGGCTATCTTGGGTTTGTAATGATATGCTCTTCAATGTTTCTGGGTAAGAGCTGAAGTTCTCAAGTAATTGTTCTTTGTTATTTTGGCACAGTTCCAACATTTCCAGACATTCACAAGTCATTTCTAAAGGAGCTTAAAAAAAGTTGCACCTTCGAAGTAGCCTAGGAGCGTTGCCTTTTTAAACTTGCTTTATGACTTGCTTTGACTTGTCTGAAAGTGGGCAGGTGCTTTTGCCCAGTGGACACAAGTTCAGGGATGCACGGGCAGTGAGAGGGAATCTGGCCTTCGACAAGGCAGATTACTCAAGGGAATGAATCGACTGCCAATATAATCATTTCTCCTCATCTTTGCCACTGGGTAGGTATCCTCTTCTGAACGGGAATGTTTTTCTCCCACTCTCTATGCAGGGTTATGGAGAATTCAATGTTTGTCCAAAATCTCTTGGTATGCAGATTCTGGGCAATTCCAAATCATTCCCATAAACACACTCCTAAACTTTGTGAAAAGTTGACGCTGCTAGCTGCAAAGGGTGGACTAATATCACATCGAACTCTTTGGATTGGGATGTCACTTAAATTCATATGTGAATCAAGACAGACAGATACTTCAGACAATATATTTTATATCAGATAAAGCATCTGGAAAAACGTTTTTGAAAATCATCAGAAAACACAGAACATAACATTTTGCACTTAATTGTGTGACATCATGATGTAATCTAAAAGTGCAACATGGCTGTGTATAGACGACAGTTTTAATATTTCAAAAGAAACACAATTATGGCAACCCTCTCAGAATTTACTTTTGTAAAACCATCATCAGCCTACTTTTTATTTAAATTAAAAATGCAACGAAAGAAGCCAATATAATTAAATGGAAAACACTATATTCATTCAATCTTTAAAAAAAAAAAAAGAACAAAAATACTATGAATGAGGCAAGGCTTTGAGGCAAAAACGTCAGGAACGTCTCGAAAATTAACCACTTGGAGACAGAGTCATGAGCAAGGCTAAATAATCTGACAATCACTTGGCTTCTTGGCAGTCCTTAAATACATGGCAAGGCTTGATTAGGAAACGAGGCACAGGGGCGCCTGCTGGAGGGAAACGCCCTTCACTCCAGCTGGAGTTGAAAAACATTCAAGCTATATTTTCTAACCCGGAAGACGCCTGGTTCTCTAAAACCCCGCCTCTCCGGCTTTGGCTGCCGCATCCTTTTCATGACATCTGGTTGCTGCGTGCATCACCCACCAAGTCAAGTCAAGTCAGCTTTATTGTCAAATATGCTCCATGTAAAACATACAGCACATATGGAATTTCTTTCCTCTCAACCACAGTGCAAACATGCAGTGCATTGAAAACCCACAAATAGTCATTAACAGTTGTTTACTACTCAGCACACAAGTGCCGCTTGTCTCAAACAGCTCCACACCACACTCCGAGGTCACCGACTACGTTTACATGCAATCATTTTTCGGGTTCAGATCAAAATTCGGGTTTCTGAAACATTCGGAATAACCTGTTCGCGTCACGTTAACAGTTACTCGCCTATTTGAATATCCTCAGTAATTAAAACGGCAACGCACAGACGTCATGATGCAATTCACATCATTTCCGCTTGTTACTCTCAACCGTCAATAAAACACATTACCGGTATGTTCGCGTCACTCACCAGAGGAATAAAGCATTCAGTTTTCTCCTCGCTCCAAAAGTGTGCTTTTGTTCTGCTTCTGAGTTTCGTCATGCTTGTTCACCTCTGCTTGTGTATTTCCAGCAAGTTGTGCACCCAGATGCAAGGACTTACACAGACGCATATGTGTGTCGAAATACAAATTGGGTCATTTTCAGCGTAGGGACAGAAAAGAACGTAAAAACCCAGGGGTCTTATTCAGGTTTTATTTAAAAAAAAAAAAAAAATGTATGTGGCGGCCGCTGCCCATAGCCACCATCCCCGAAGCAGGAACCAAAACTGTCGGGTCAGGGAAGCGGCAAGGGTCTGCGTTGGCAGTTTGAGACCTCTCAATGAAGTGAATGGGATCCGGTGTCTTAAAGGATCCATTTCTCCCCAACTCTGTTGCAAAATGAAGTGTTTCACTGGTAGTTGCTCTGAGAAAGTGGGCATGTATTTGGACTGTTTGGACGCTTTGCGGGTGGCTCCTCACTTATGATGTAGAAAAGTAAGGATCCAGTGGTTTTCTTGGATTGGAAGGGGCTGGTGTTTAGTGAACATGGATGAGCAGGAATGCTCCAAGATGGCTGACACACCTTGTGACACAATTGGGGCATGACTGAAAATCAAGTACAAGAAACTGCAGTTTTAAGAAACCAATTCTCGCCTTTATTGGAATGTAACAAGGCATTAAATACACAAATCCCATTCTTTCAATAATTTGGTGTATAATTAAAAAAAAAAACATCAAACAATACTTGTCTGAGAGTCATTTGAATTCAATTGCATCATTATAGCCTAGAATGATTTTTCTTTCCCTGCATCACAGAGGTGGAAACCTGCCACTGTCTGAAGTGAAAGCAGATGATTCAACACTTGAGAATTAGAGGACAGACCACACTGACACTGGTAATAATTGGGAGACTACTGATTAAAGTTTGGTAAATACTGTGCATCAAGGCTGCGCCGTTCAGATGAAACAGTCAATTTTTATTTTCTTTAACCCTTGATGTCGTCCTGGGCTTACAATTTAAAAAGGCATGTCATATAAACAAGCTCTACATATGGTATGCGTTGTGTATTTGAAGCCAGAGAAGAGAGCTGCAGGCAAAGCCGGGTTCGAAACTTTCACCTTGAAGTTGCAACATTTATTTTGTATTTATTATTCAAGGCCTCCACCAAACCCAGATATTCTGAACCGTTCACGTCACCGCTCTCAGCATTCACTGAATGTTGCGTAGAAGAAACAAACAAGCAAAGAATGAGCAGCAAACGGTTTTGGAAAACCATTCGCCTGGCTTTGAAAAGAAACAAAAGGCAGAAAGGGGGAAAAAAAAAAACAGTCAGGTGTCTCCTTGGCTGTCTCAAGAGCACCACCTCCTTCCACCTCTCCAATGTGTCCTTGCAACCTTCCCTTGTCACCCGCCGCACTGCTGTTCGATGTAGTTAAGACATGACTCCAAACACAGGATTGTGGCGACAGATGCTCGGCCCAATCTCTTCATAGTCCTTTTTGGTGTGGCAAACCTGGTAGAACTCGGGCTGCGGGACAACAGACAAAGAAAAGGAAGCGTTAAAACATACACCTGAAGGAAATAAAAACAGAAACGTTAAAAATACATACAAAATGCCCAATTTCCTGTGTTGTTTTTCTTTCAGTCAAACTGCTACAAACTACTCTGAAATCCCTTTAAAAATCTGCAACATAAAAAAAAAAAAAGACTCGAGATGATCTTTTGAAGAGGCCTTTTTTGGATGACGTTCAACCAACACAAAAGTATGAAGAAAGGGAGCTTTGATAAAGCAATGTCACAAACAGACACATTCAATTCAAACACCTTCAATTGAGGTGAGCCACAAGGTAAAGACGTTCACTGGGCACCTGTACCTTTAAGTGAGGGGAGGGAGTTGACATGTGTCTGGGTTCAAAAGGAAGCAAGACATGAAAGGGTTGAGAGGGAGGAGCTTGCTGTGAGAACAGTCCATCTTGGAGTGGAGAGCGAAGTGACATGACTCGCCTTTGTCTCCTGCTGTCATCATTTACCGCATCTCCACAACCTACACCTTGCACTCAATTACACTCAAGCCAAGAATAACTTCCACTGCAGCACACCTGATGAGCTCTCAACTCAACTCAACTGTATTTATAGAGCACTTTAAAACAACCACGCTGTATACAAAGTGCTGTGCAGGGAGCAAATATATGTACAACAATAAACAACCATTTAATAATAAAGACAGTAGAAAGTACAAAAACAGTAAAACTGAAAATCAAGTCTGAGTCATGCTGAGTCAAAAGCCAAAGAATAGAAATAAGTTTTGAGACAGGTTTTAAAGATGGGCAGCAAGGGGACTTGCTGACTGTTCAGTGGGACGTCATTCCAAAGAGAGGGACCAGCAAAAGAAAAGGATCACTCCCCTGTGAGCCTGCTCTTAGTTCTTGGTACCTCTAATAATGTCTGCTCGCAGAGTGGAGTAGCAATATTCTTACATCGCAGTATTGGTGCACAGTCCGATGATTGTCGTGTTTAGCAATATTCTTACATTGTTGTTTTTTTCTGCTCTATGTTGGCGGTTATGATGAGTATATATGCATGTTGCGGTCATGAGTAAGAGAGATGGCAGGGTGTACAATGGGCAATGACCTGTAGTTGAATGAAATGAGACGATTGTTGCTGTACATGGGCGTAAAAGTAGGAGCAGGGGCACATGATGTGCAGAATGTAAACAACAGCCAACTGGGGCCACAGTGAACAGCATGCTGCATATTCGCAATTTGCATCGCGCTACCCACAAATTTGGGATGGACTATCCAACTTGATAAAAGAAAAACAGTTGCAGAACAGATGAAAATTCTCAATAAAAGAAAGTTGAGATGAAAGCCAGGGCCTGGTTGTTGAAAACTCCGTTCTTTTTTTAACCGCTGGTTAGGTAGATTTAACCGTCCGTTAACTTTAACGGCACCGTTATCTTGTTGCTCAAAGCTCGGTTAACTTTAACTGGCTGTTAACTTGACGTTTAGGTTAACACACCGAAGGACAACGCTAAATTTTTAACAGTGTGGTTAACCCGAGATGGTGCTTGTGGCTAATCAGCCTTCGTGATGCTATTTCAGCAAAGGAAAGAGAGTCTATTGTGGGCTTGACTTTGACGTTGGTGATTATTCTGATGAAGAGTTACAAATTATATATGATATACTTTTCTTGCTCTAGCTCTCGGTGAAGGCGGACACGTTTTTCCCCTTTGGGACAAATGCTGCTGGGTACACCTGAGATCGTTGGCTGGAGAACGGTGTGCTTGACAATATTGTCGGTAGAGGATGTGGAAGACATTTATATAAGATAAGATAACCTTTATTTGTCCCACACTGGGGAAATTCACAGTCTACAGCAGCAAAATTGAGGGGGGGGGAAGAAAAAAAGTGTTGCAAGCACAAAATAAATGATTCAGAAAAAGACCTGTACACAGTATAGAATGCAATATAAATATAAGATAGAGATATAAACATTATATGCAACTGCATATATGCAGCATAAGGTGGCTGTGCCATTTACCGTATTGGCCCAAATATAAGACGGCCCTGATTATCAGACGAGCCCCTCTTTTTCAAGACTCAAGTTCGAAAAAATACTTTTTGAACACCAAATTAATTTTTTTACAGAAAATAATTACAGTACATCTGAAACAAATGATTATAACAATTTATTTGAGAGAAAAAGCATGTTATTTTGCCTCATTCAAATCTAAAGGGCAATCACATTCGTAAATGAATGGCTTCTGGTTTTTGAAATGTAAATTACATCATAACTTCTCGGTTAACCTGGCCGATCTTCGACCCACTTTTCTCCAGATTGTCACTACGTTGCTCCATTTTCTGTTATCTCTTCTATTATTTTCTTCTCTTTTCATTCTTACCGCTATTTTTTATTTTTCTTCTTCACGCTACCGCTATTTTTATTTTTATTCTTCGTGGCAGGGGTTCACTTTGGCCTGGGGAGTCAAGTTCAGCATTCGCTTCATTGATATCTGGCGCCATCTATCATCGTGAATGGGTATAATGTCTAGACCCCGAATGTAAGACGACCCCCACTTTTCAGTCTTACTTCAATGCAAAAAACACCGTCTTATATTCGGGCCAATATGGTACAATGGTTACAGGTTTTCACGTATGTTTATTCAGCAGCCTTATTGGCCTTTTGATAACAGGTATCCTGCTGTTTGGTGTTTGCAGTTTCCTGATCTATCGCTAAATTCAACCGGTTGCCTCAGCTTCATTGGAAGATCACAAACTGTCAGCCTACGTGGAAACTGTGGGGCGGGTGATCAAAACTCAGACTCATGCGTTGAATGAACTCAACCACAAAGTGGATGTGGTGTTGGAGTCACTTCGCAAAATGGAAAAGACCGGGAGGAGTTGTACCGTCCTGGAAAATTGATTGACTGATTGATCAAGAATTTGGCAGATTGACGCCACGGAGAGTCACATGCTAAAAGACATTCAAGCCTGTCTGAAACAGTAGACAACCTGTCTCGAAAACAGCTTACGCACAAGCCGGCATCATTTCTGAGGAGCCGCATGGTAACAAGACTGACTCTGACAATGACGGGAGGGAACAATGACGCATGTGCCTAACTGTTCATTTCGGATACAAACGATGAGGACTTTGGTGGATTGGTAATAAGGATTGATGAAAAAAATAACATGAGTAAATTTCTAAATACTTCAAAAAGTACAACCGAACTCAGTTTTGCTCTCGCTGCCTTTTCAAAACTATACACTAGCATGCATGCATGCTACTATATTGTTTAGTACGTTTTTCCATGCCTGCGTTCAATAATACAATGCGTATTGTGTATGTGTTAAATACAGAAATAGCACCCAGAACTCACACTACGCTTTTTAATTCGATGCGCCGTATGGTTGTGAAAATACGGTATGCCTTGCTTGATGTGGAACCACCTCAAATAATTTCCTGTTTAATAAGGCTCAGATGGGAAGCAAATTATCAAACCTGTTTGAAATGGAGATCAGCGTTCTAGTCAGTGAACAAACAGGAGAATCCTCATGCGCACAACCACAGAAATGCTACAATGCCATCTTCATTTTTGCATAATGCATGCCCACTAATTTGGGGCACGGTATAATGTCATTCAAATAGTACAACTCCACTCATCCGTCCAGCCATTCACTGTTCTGCTCATTTGTTAAATGTGAATGTGGTTACAAAGTTACAATCATGACATACAAAGATCGCATTAATTTACCAGTGCCTGCAAGTTTGTATTGCTTTGCTACTTACGGTTGACGCTAACATCGAGCCTCCAAACCAGACAGCATATCTCTGCATATGATGAGTGATAACTTGGACATCAATTGGTTTGGGCTGCAGGGAGAAGAATTTGACAGAATTCATACCTTACAAATCATGGCATTATTAAGAGTGGCAGCACAAGTTCCGTCGTCATTGCATAGCAGAAGTTCTTCTGGCAAAGCAAAACGTGTTTGCATGTTACACAATACAAAATACTCATTGGTGTACAAGAATGGAATCTATCAATACAATGATTTTGTGCCTTTACATAATTAGGCCTGACCTCTATTTTCTGAATTGTTTATTACACCGCACCTTTTGCATTAATAGCTCTGTAGCCGATACCAATGATCCAATCTAAAGGGATGGTGACGATGATTTATAATAGGATGCAAGATCACAGGATTACATTACGGTAAAACTCATTTAATGCCAGACATTTTTCTCAAATCGGGAGAGTCTGTACCAGACATTTTTTACTCATTTTTGAAAGCCCACAAAAAAATGGGAGTTCTGTCGCTATATAAGCATTGAACCTACCATAAATAAGACCAAACAAAAAAGATAGTGTGTTTCCGGTAACAAGAAATTTCAGCATAGGGTCGGTAGGTCGGACAAAGTATTTTTTTTTTATCTTTTTTTTTTCCCCATCAAAAATGTAAACAAAATAACCATAAAACATAAAACAAGAAGACACTGAACCCGCCGATCCGCGGCCGGCGCCGCCGCCACCTAGTTAGTTTTCTCCCCGCTCCAGACTCGGGGGCCGGGGGGCGCCGCCCGCT